TGGGAATGATGCCTTTCGCGATTGCAGCTCTTTGGTGAACTTGACCACCCCAGACTCTGTGACCCACATTGGGGATTCTGCCTTTCAGGGTTGCAGCTCTTTGGTGAACTTGACCATCCCGAACTCAGTGACCCACATTGGGGATGGTGCCTTTCACGGTTGCTGGTCTCTGGGGAACTTGACCATCCCTGACTCAGTGACCCACATTGGCAATTCCGCCTTTCAGGATTGCAGATCTTTGGCCAAGGTGACCATCCCAGACTCGGTGACCTGCATTGAGATGTGTGCCTTTCAGGGTTGCAGCTCTTTGGTCAACTTGAGCATCCCAAACTCAGTTTTCCACATTGGGAATTTTGCCTTTCAGGGTTGCAGCTCTTTGGCAAATTTGACCATCCCAGACTCCGTGAGATACATTGGGGATTTCGCTTTTCCAATTTTTTTTGCAGCTACAGCTTTTTGAAAAACTTGACCATCCAGAGGGTCAGGCTGGGCATATGATAAACACTTGAGCATCCGATTGACTTGAGCATACTCGCCACAGAGCAGAAGAGGCCCAATCCGGTCGTGAAACCCGTTGGCTCGTTTCGCAAAATCGATTGGCTCATGGCCAGCCCGGGCGGCTTGTCACGTGTGACCTGTCACGTGACACCCGGATCGGTTCGGTGCAAGAGATGACCGTCGATCACGGGGTGATGCCGCTGGCTCGCGGCGGTGCGTTGTTTTTTTTTTTTCAGCTTTCAACATCTGTGGGCCCGTGATTAAAGAGACCTGGCCAGGAACTGACGGTCATCACTGGTCCTTGGTTCCTCTCCCTTCTCCAAGCAGTGGTCTTGTCCGATGGATGGTGGGAGCTATCTGGATTGGCATGGGGGTGGGTCATGCAGGTGCAGGTGCACGCATCAATCATGCAGGAAATTGCATATACGACACCCATCGACACCCGGACTAGGGGTTTCTATTGATAGCTCCTGAAAGAGGTGATTGACAACCTTATGCAATACTACCAGGACCCTCCAAGGTTCGCCTGCTTGGAGACCACAGGTGGGGAACCTGGGCAGGAAGCACCTGGCCAGGAGGGTGCTGGTGGTGGAAATTGCATCTCCAAGGTAATTGGGGATCACGCAAGAAAGAGGGTGGTCCAATGTGCTGTTCCAGATCTCTTTGCAAGTCCAATCATATATTAAGCCCATGAAGAAGCAACATAAGAGAGAGCTTCCTCCTCCTCGAGATGTAGATCCCCACGAAGAAAGTATTGGACACGGTGCCACTATCTATTTGAAGACCACTACCCTGTCGACTTCCGTTCGACCATTAAGAAGAAATGGTTGTTGTTTCACTGGTTTTTGTAGTGTAAACTCCTTAGTTGGTTTGGGATTCAGCCTATTAATTTAAAGGTTGGAAGTCTAGGGACATCTAGGGACTATAGGTAGAGCAAGTTCACCCCATCTTCCCTCCCCACACGGATCTGGGAATTGGCGTTCACCAAAGAACGGCCTTTTTCTTCGACCTCCACCTGCGCCTGCGTGGCCAGCGAGGTTGACCGTCGAGACAGTATCGTCTTATGGTTCGCCCCCGGGTCGCTGCCCCCCCCAAATCGGCCGTGTCGATAGAGTTCGGTTGACCCAAGAGAGGTTGAGAGGTCGCTTCACGTTCGGACCCAGGGATCCTGTGGTACATGGGATGGGCGAGCTTTCAGGCTGTGAAAAACCTCTCTTGGTGCCTCCCAAAGCTGCCAACCTTCCAACCAGATCTCTCCCAAAGCTGCCTCTCTTGGTCGCTTCACTCCCCACACAGATCTTGGTGGTGTTGCTGTCTTATACGGAAGAACCGCTCCATGGACCTGCCATGTCGGACTGCCTTCGTCATTTCACGGCCGATGGGGTGGTGCGTGCCAGAGGGGTTCAGACTCTGGGGCGGCAGAACGATGGCAGTCCCATGGAGTGTATGGGGAATAGTAAAACCGCTCCATGGTCGGGGAAAACACATGCGATTCAATCTTCATGGGCGGCTCCGGGGGCTTCCGAGATATGGATGTGCACGGACTTGATCACCTTACGACTGGGAAGGCGACTGGGGGTTTGCCCTGACTTGGTCACCTTCCTTGGCCAATGATTCCTCTTTTTTGTTGAAGGGCCAACAGGAAGACTTTTTCTCAGCCCCCCCATGGCTAGGGCCAGGGAAGACTTGATCACTACCCAACATTCAGTCCTGCCCACAAAACCCGAATGGCCGGCAGGAAGACTTGATCTTCTCGAATGGCCTCCACAGCTACTTGGCGCAGCTGCATCCCTTGCTCTTCAAGGACGGGGCTCCGAACCGCGCCGGGACGGAGGGACCGGGCAGGGCAGGGCGGTTCGCGACAAGGGAGGCGAACATGCAGGCGATCTGAAGGTGTGGAAGGTTTTGGATGCCCCACTTTATGAAGGGGCGAAAGATGTTGGGTCTCCAGAAAGCCAGTTGTTATATGGTCGAATGATCTAACAAGAAGCCTTCAGGACTATTGGAACAACATCACATTCTGGAGTGTCTAAGGAGCTTCATTTCTAGCTCCCTTGTTGGCTCGTCGAACATGCACTGCTCGCCCATCCAGATTTCCAGTTCGACTCCCGACCCAAAACCGCTTTGGCCACCTGTTTGTTCGCGTTGCACCGGCAGGATTCCAGCCTGTGGTGCATCAGTGCCGGGATTCTCAGCTTCGGTCCCTGCCACACCAACCACTCGGTCCGTCCGTCGCCGGTCGACGCGACGTGACACTTCGACCCTGTGCGAGCCGTCACCGATCTCCAGGATGCGCCATGGACCCCTGGTCTTTCTGAGGCGGCAGATATTCCATATGAGCCATTCGATAAACCTCCGTGTTCATGATACGACATGGGATTTCATCTAAATATCTAAGGTTTTCAGAAACGCTCAAATATGGCTATACATGGAATGTCATTTTGGGATATGGCGGACCCTGAAATCACCCCAACTTGTATACGATCTGCTCAGTGAAAAAAAAAGAGGCCGGTCGACCGGGACTGTTCCACTCTCCGGGAACCCGGTCGACCGGTCGACCGTAGCCTTCGACCGTGCAGATGGTCCTGGCCGGGTCGGGTCTCGCGTCGGTCGAGTCGACGGCACGCGGACCAGGTGAGTGGTACCCGAGGTCGTCGTCGCAGCCCATTTTTCGGGGTCGGAGTCTGAATTCGTCTCAAATAATCCGGTTTTGGATCGGAGTCTGAAGATGTCTGAAGTCTCATTCATCTGAAGTCTCATTTCTCGTGCTCGTTGGATCGGTCCTTGGCCCCTTGGCCTCTCTTATTCTGCAAAAAGGCGGCTTCGAAGCTGCTTCGATTCATTGAGTACGAAGGTGTTGCACCCATCGGAAAGAGCGTCTCCAATCGTTGGACTCCAAGTCCCCAAGTCCCCAAACTCCTTGCAGCTTGTTCATCAGCTACTCCATCATCATCTGCAGGATTCCAACCATCTGAGACCCCACAGAACCCCTCCGGGTGCCGAAGACGACGCGGGTCCACACGAGCGAACGAGCGCGAGCTTCCGAGCGGGAGCCGACGACGCGGGCGAAGCGTGGTAACTCGGCCAATGGTGACGATGGTGACGTTCTGGAGCTTGGGCCTGTCTTGCAGATTCCCCCTCCGGGACCTTCTGGTGGTCTTTCCGGCTTCAGTTTGAGAACTGAGCAGATCGGACGAACCGAACGGAGGGGTCCTGGTCGTATTGCCCCACAACAATTTTCATCATGTTCTTTGGCGAAGACGAAGATGTGTTCTATCATAGACAGCTCTTTGAGGCCAAAGCAATAGTCAGCTCAAATCCAAATCCAGGTAGAGCGAACCAAATCCTGACCCACTAGCCAGCAAGCATTCGTTTCAAATCCAAGTTAATAGTCTTTGAGCCATGGCGACGCAGATTTCAGCGCTGCAGCCAAATGGTGAAAGCCTGGTTCTTGAAGTCACGCCCGAGACAACAGGCCGAGCGCTCAAGCAGCAGATCAAGGAGGGACAGCCTTGGGACGAGCTCACTCGCAGCACTACAGGTGTGGAGATCATTGTCGGAGACAACCACTTGCTGGCCAACGATACAAAGGTATTGGAAGCTGGAATTGCTGAAGGTACTGTCGTGAGTGTTGTCTTCAAACCCAATGTCGTGATATGCTCCAACCAAGATGTCATTGCCAGTCTTGGCGGCACCGTTGACTCAGATTTGTTGCTTGTGGTCGAAATTCCAACCACGGAAACACAGATTTGTGAAAGCGCTTTTGAAGGATGCACATTGGCCAAGGTGACCATCCCGCACTCAGTGACCCACATTGGGAATCAGGCTTTTTGTGGTTGCAGTTTTTTGGTAGACATCACCATCCCCAATTCTGTGACCCACATTGGGGATCGTGCTTTTCAATACTGCTATTCTTTGGCAAACTTGACCATCCCGGACTCCGTGACCCACATTGGGGATGGTGCCTTTCACGGTTGCTGGTCTCTGGGGAACTTGACCATCCCTGACTCAGTGACCCACATTGGCAATTTCGCCTTTGAGGGTTGCACCTCTTTGGTGAACTTGACCATCCCGGACTCTGTGACCCACATTGGGAATTTTGCCTTTGAGGGTTGCAGCTCTTTGGTGAGCCTGACCATCCCGGACTCTGTGACCCACATTGGGCATATGGGTCGCAGCTGACAAACGTTGAGCATCCCGGACTTTGAGCATCGCAGAAAATGCAAAATGTGTGTCGACTTTTTTTGGAGAAGACAAAAAGTCCTATGGGCGGCGCCTTCATTTTTTGCCAAAGAGTTTTATCATATCGCTAGAAACCTTAGAAGAACTTTCCCACCACTGACCCACAGTTTCAATCTATTTTTACATATGTTTTATTGTTTAATTAAGTGTATTACACATTTTTTTTGGACTTCGTGCTCTTGGACCAGTTGAAGAAGGGGATTGGCGTTGGGTTATGCAGACGCAGATGGAAACAAGAAGAGTGTGGACTTTGCACGACTGTTTCAGTTTTGGGGGATAACTTAGGCCAATGTCTATCAGGTGCTGTTCTCCAGCTTCTTCAAAGTGACCTCCAATGGAGGTAACATAGAGAGATCCAATGTCTATCAGTGCTGTTCTAGAGCATCTTTGCTGATCAGCTATAACTTAGCCCAAGAAACAAAGAATAAGAGAGAGAGAGAGTAGCGAGAGCTTTCTCCACCATCCACAAATAGAGCGAACCAAATCCTGACCCACTAGCCAGCAAGCATTCGTTTCAAATCCAAGTCAGTAGTCTTTGAGCCATGGCGAGGCAGATTGCAGCGCTGCAGCCAAATGGTGAAAGCCTGGTTCTTGAAGTCACGCCCGAGACAACAGGCCGAGCGCTCAAGCAGCAGATCAAGGAGGGACAGCCTTGGGACGAGCTCACTCGCAGCACTACAGGTGTGGAGATCATTGTCGGAGACGACCACTTGCTGGCCAACGATACAAAGGTATTGGAAGCTGGAATTGCTGAAGGTACTGTCGTGAGTGTTGTCTTCAAACCCAATGTCGTGATATGCTCCAACAAACATGCGATCGCCAGTCTTGGCGGCATCGTTGACTCAGATTTGTTGCTTGTGGTCGAAATTCCATTTGATGAAACACAAATTCTTGAGAGTGCTTTTGTGAGGTGCGAAACATTGGCCAAGTTGATCATCCCGGACTCAGTGACCCACATTGGGGATTATGCCTTTGGTTGTTGCAGCTTCTTGGCAAACTTGACCATCCCGGGCTCTGTGACCCACATTGGGGATGGTGCCTTTCTCGGTTGCAGATCTTTGGCAAACTTGACCATCCCAGACTCAGTGACCCACATTGGAGGGCAAGCCTTTTATGGTTGCAGCTCTTTGGTTAACTTGACCATCCCTGACTCAGTGACCCACATCGGGTATCATGCCTTTTATGGTTGCAACTCCTTGAAAGACTTGACCATCTCGAGCTCAGTGACCCGCATTGAAGATGGCGCCTTTCGGGGTTGCTGCTCTTTGGTGAGCTTAAGCATCCCCAATTCCGTGACCCAGATCGGTAGGCTTGCTTTCGAGGGTTGCAGCTCTTTGACAGACTTGACCATCTCGAGCTCAGTGACACACATTGAAGGTGACGCCTTTCGGGGTTGCTACTCTTTGGTAAACTTGACACTCCCTGACTCAGTGATCCACATTGATGCTTGCGCCTTTCAGGATTGCAGCTCTTTGGTTAACTTGAGAATCCCGGACTCAGTGACATGCATCGGAATATCCGCCTTTAAGGGTTGCAGCTCTTTGGTGAACTTGGTCATCCCGAACTCCGTGGAGGACATTGGTTTCTCTGCATTTGAAGGTTGCGACTCCTTGGCAAACTGGACCATCCCGGACGCGTTTCAGGTTCTTGATCTCCCCAGTGCTTCCTCGTTTGGCAGTCCAGGTCCAGGTGGACGATTTGGAGAAGGCTCCAACGAAGCGGTGCTCCGCGGTGCTCCCGTGGATTCCCTCTACATCCGTAGAAACCTCGACACTGGGAGACAAAGACCATCAAAAAGAAGGGTCTTAATAGGCCATTGAGGTGACCCTTCGTGACCCGGAATGTCCGAACCTTCAGTCGGTCCAAAGAGAGTCTGGAAGCTGGATCAACTTCTAGCAGCACCGAAACCCTGCCAGGTCTCCGAAATGGTGGCTTTTGTAGCTTTTGTAGACTTAAATGTGTCAGGTGGTGACCTGTGAAATCGGGTACTGGTAGGGGGGTCGATCTTTCAATTCCTCTTCTCCGAGTTCTTCCACGTGCGCGACGCCGTCACGCCGACCTCGACCCAAGGCCTACAGCGACTTGAGCCTGGCACCCTTTGCCCGAGACGTGTCGGTGATGCTGAGGACTCGCGACAGAGACCGTGCCGCGCTCGCGGCAGCGGCACGGCGCTGCGGGTGCACCGGGAGCTTCTCCTCAGCTGAGTTTCTGGGGAGGATTTTCACCAGCAGAGGTTCAGTGACCTGAACTAGGACCCTACTAGGGGTATACCTATATATATATATTATATATACCAGCATCTCCAGGTCACCAATTGAAACCTGTTAATTAGGGCCTTTCCCAACCCTCCATTTCGGAGACCTGGTAGGGTTCGGTGCTGGTATAGATCGAACCTTCGGGTTCTGACCCTGTTGGATCCACCAGGCTTCACATCAAACCTTCGGACTACGTCCAGTGTTTCGGTCCTGCGTTGGACCCTTGGACATCCACCGTTCGTCGACGTCCGTCCGTCCCGAAGTCCCTCCGGTGGAGGACTTCGTGGTTCTCGGGGCGAGCGTGGATGGTGAGCTTCAAGAAGATCGTCGAGGCGGGCAAGTCGGACCGGACGCGGGCGATCCGGTGGTCCTTCCGCACCGGGCGATCCGGTGGTCCTTCCGGTACCGGGAAAGCGCGGTAAGTGGACCTGCGGTACGGGACCATTCGACATGAGATGCTGGGAGGAGGTGACAATGTCAGACACCACCTGCCAGCTGGTGACGTTCCTCCGGTGAAGCCCACCTGTGGCAATTGGTCTCCAAGTCCAGCCGAACAAACCGGAGGGTCCTTCCAGTCCTTCCATCAAAACCGCCCTGATGAACAGCCGCCCTCGTTTCCTCAGAGCCCTCGTTCAAACGTCTCCGACGGGGAGGTGATTTTGCCTCACTGGTCACTCCAGCAACGCTGGCGGCCCCTTCTCCGGCAGCTGGCTGCAGAAGCGCAGCAGGCGCAGTGGGCCGACCAAAGCTATAGGCAACTGTTTGAAGAAGGCAGGACATGGCTTGCATGAAGAAGGCACAGGACATGGTTTTGGTTGGAAATGGTTGGAAGATCCAGGTTGGAGCGTTTGAAGACTTGGATCATCTCTGATCATGAGTGTTTGCAGCACCTCGGGAAAACGCAAAGCGCCTCAAATACGTCGAAGGTGGAGATTGATACCGTTTCCCACTCGCGAGCGCGACGCGCGACTCGGCTCAGGATTGCCTGGTGCCAGAGGTCTCGAGAGCGGCCTTTACGGGCTATCTCTGTCAGAGTCTCAAGCGGGCTACCCCATAGGAGTGATGGAGTGAGGCGGAGTGAGGAGTTCTGAACCATCCAGTGAAAGCAAAAAAACGGCCGGTGAGCCGAGTTCAGGAATTCGCTTTAGTTAAGTGGTGCCAAGAAATATTCTTTGGACCTGAGGTTTTTATGTTTTTTTGTTTTTAGGGCCCTCTTACGAGGGGTGTGAGGACTTTCGTGGGCGTTCGTGGTGGTTGAAGAAGCGTTGGGAGCGTTGGGTAGTTCTTTCGAGACAAATGCAGCTGGACCCTAGGCTTCCAAGCCTATAAAGAAAATGGTTGACCTGGTGCTGTAGTGTGTGTAAAATCCTTTGGTAAGACAATCCCTAGACTTCCAAGACCATCAAAAAAACATGGTTGACCTGGTGTTTGTAGTGTAAAATCCTTAGTTGATTCGGTAGTTGGCCTATTAAATACATGGTGGGCCACGAAGCCTATAGGGCAATGGTTGTTCCGAACAGGCTATTAAGTCAATGGTGCTTTGAAGCCTAGGCTGCAAGTAGAAGAGTTAGAACCCTCTAAGAATCCGGGCCCCGAAGTGTTTGGCTCCGGACCCGGCCCCGTCCGGATTCGTAAGGAAACTGTCAAACTCTACCGCTCCCAGATGCTCCATGCCAGCACCCGGTCGACCTGCCAGGTCACCACCAGGTCCACGAAATTCAGTATCCAAAAGCTACTATTTCGGAGACCTGTAGAGTCGGGTGCTGGTGTATGCCATAGGACTGCCGCCCCATTGACCCATATATACCACCACCACCCCTGGCCGTTTTGAAGGCAGTCCGGACTGGCAGTCCCATGGAGCGTCTGGGCGTTGAATTGAAAGAAGTGATCCAGCACGCCTTCCGCTGGCTGGCTTCGTTGGACCAGCTGAACCACCTTATTATATAATAAGCCTCAAATCCGTGGGGGTCGTTGCTGAGACGGATTTTCCATCGCTTCCATCGCGCTTTCTGGCGCGTCAAGTCCGGGCGCGTCGACCGCTGGCGCGGATGACCTGCCGGCCGGCACGTCATCCGCGGCCGGACAGCGAGGTGACAGCGCTGGAATCCCTGGGCAATGCGATGAGGAAGAGGCGGAGCCGAGCCGTCGCGGAACCGCTTCCGTGGCGAGGTCGGTCGATGGGACGGAGGAAGTGGGTCGATCTCCAAGGTGTCGAAGCGCAGTTGGCTGGGTGAAGATGCAGACGTTTTGTACCAGCGCCCTGATCCTGGTGACAACAGGTGCCCAGAAACCACCTGTTAGGGTCTCCAAAGAGCCTGGCGAGGAGGGTCCTGGAGGTGTTCGGATGAGTTGGTTTCTGAGTTGGGAAGCTCTATATACCTGAACATGACCCATGTAAGTCCGTCGCGGAAACATGATTCCCTGCAAGCACGAACAAAGATAGAAACACTGGAAGCACATGGTTGTAGTATGTTGTGGAGATTGTCGTGTACATGTCTAAAGTAAAACTAAGGGGCTTTTTCGGTCAAAAGCACCTGAAGTTACCATGAGTCTTCATGCGTCATTGGACTCCTGGAGACTCCTGGAGACTCCTGGACACTGGTGACCCATCGACTCCAAGTTCTCGGAACACGGTCGACCACGCCGCCGTGACACGCCGATCTCGATCGCACCTCTGCTCTGATCGTGGGAAGGTCCGGTTCGGTACAGGCTGAGATGGTCCTTTTCCGTAGCTAGTCACCGAAATACTGGAGATGGTCATACAAAACCGATATGGAATAGGATACTTAAGGAGGTCAACGACAAGCTATAGGTTTCAAATTTGCAGGCCGTGTACAGTGGTTTCAGAGTAGATGGCACAAGGGACCCCCAAGTTTGGTGCGGTATAAGTATATGGACCCTATAATAAGACATTTTTGGGTTTGTGCCATCTACTCTGAAACCAGTAACCTCACCGTCGGTCTGTGGTTTTAGCCTTTGGAACCACTGGGACTCCCAGCGACATGGTGGTTTTGGGACAGCCCCGACTCACCTCTCTTTCAGAGGCTATTCAATTCATACCAGCACCCTCACTGCCAGGTCACCACCTGACCTGACACTTTTATAGTCTCCATTTCAGCTGCCATTTCGGAGACCTGGCAGGTCGACCGGGTGCTGGTAGACACCCTGTCGACGGAGGGTCCGGGGCTACCCGATCTGAAGATATCTGACCTGTTGGAGGGTCCTGGTATATAGGCATTGGTCCAAAACCTGAGACCACACTGTGGCCACACTGCTTCGGGTCGGGCTTCAGACGTGTTCCGCGGTCCACCACAACGCACCGAAACCGGGCTCCCTTCGCCCCAGTTCCCCCCCGCCCCGCGGTGGGTGGCGCAGGTGGAGAGTCGCCGCGGCGCGCCCCTGGCGCTGCTGGCGCGGGGGCGGTGCAGCTTGGGCGAGGTGCAGCGGCTGGCGAAGGAGAGGCGCGCCGGCAGCGGGCGCGGCGATGCCGAGCCGGCTCGGCTGGGGGGGGAAGGAGCGGGTGGGTCGTTGTTGGCCTGGCTGGTGGGAGTGAAAGGGGAGCGAGGTCGAGCGAACGAAGTTCTGAAGTGAGTCGAAGTGAGTGGCGGAGCGAACGGAGGATCTGAAGTGGAGACACCTTGGAGCTATAGAGTCAGAGGTGGGAGTTGTGAGTCTGATGCAACAAGGGGGGGAGCGACCAATCAGTCGCTCGCATGACTGGAGCCCGCATGACTGGTGGGGGTGCATCGAAAAGCGCCAGCCATGTGGATGTCCAGGGGCGAATCATAATATGGTCCAGGATGTGTTGTTTTATCTTTCAGGACCCCCAGAGCATCCAGGCAGTTCCCATGATGTCGCTGATGACCACAGCTTTGAATGGAGTAAATTCAGACATGAACGCCTTGCAACTGGTCGTTTCTGGTCCTTGAATGTTGGGGTCCAACATTGCCACCTAACCACTCCAAACCACTTCCCCCCCCACTTAAAAGCAATGTGTTTTTGTTTCAAGGAAGTCCCTCCGCCAGGTACGACGAGCTGTTGCGCTTTGAGTGGCCCCAGGCGGGTGCCTTGGCTCAGGCGTCCACGGTGGCGACGGTGGAGCAGCTTTGTCCGGCACCCTGGAGAGAAAGTCTGGTGAAAGGTGAAAGGGAACATCTACCGCGCCTCGACTTGACTGCCAAACTATGGTCTATATAGGTACAGGAAACCATGATGAAAAACATCCCCAGATTCCGATCGGTTTCCGGTAGATTTTCTCACACCCAAATGCAACCCTGGACCCTAATCCTGTGGAGGGGTCTGGGGCTTCTCACCAATCCCGATCGGTTTTGAGGGCACGGAGCGTCGAGCGTCCGGGCTGTTCCGGGCTGGTCCGCGCCTACGAAGGCGCCGGCTCCGTGGTAACCCCGGGACACGGTGCCCAGTGTGGGCAAACGCCATCCCTACACCTCCAAGTACCTCCTCAGAAGGTATTTGGACCCTCCAAGCCCACCCCAAACACCTTCTCAGAAGGTACGACTGGAGGCCTAGGGCATTCGGCTTTCAGCTTTCTGTGGAAGAGTCTCTATAAACGTAGCCAAAAGTCTCTGAGCACCACCACCCAAGTCGGGTGGTTTATAGAGCCCCCTGAAGATGTATTTTTCATCCAATAACCACCCCTTGGGTGGTGCTGGGAGATGTTACAGTATGCAGACGACCTAGTAGAGCTGAGATGAGTAATGATGTCATTGGCGTTTTGAGAGGGTGGGACGTGATTTGTTTGGTGACTTGTTTGCATATCGCAGATCTAAAAACATGCTCAAACTGCCCTCTTCCTGGACCCTCCAACAGGTCACCACCAGGTCCACTTGTTTGATGATCTAAAAACATACCAGCATCTTCAAAGGGGTCACCAATGGACTAAGGGACCTCCAGCCAGGACACGCCTTGAAGGTTCAGGTAGCTTAAACTACCCGGCTTTGAAGGCTTCGCAGGATGAACGCACCACCACATGCCCAATCCCAAACACCTCTCATCGCGCACGGCGCTCTCGTCGCCTTCCTTAGCGGCACAGGCTCCACGTCCGACGCTGTGCCGGAACCGACGGAGCCCGTCTCCAGTCCGAGGGAAGGTCAGTCCCGGACTGAGGGACCTTCTGATGGACTGATCCCAGACACTCCATGTATGCCATATATGCCTACATTGACCCCCCCAAACCATCCCAATGTAGGCAAATATGGCAGTCCCATGGAGTGTCTGGGGATGGACTGATTGAGAGTCCGGCCGTTTCTTCCGAGATCAAGATGCCTCTACGCCTCTGTTGCTGGTGGTGAATGAGACCAAGGACGTCGCCGAGTCGTCGCTCAGAAACCCCGTTCCTCTCGTCGCTCGAGTCCGCCCGAGCTTGGATCGAGAGAGTGCACTTGGGATGGCTAGCCGAGCACCTCCGACTCAAGGTGCGTATAGAAGTCCAGTTCGACTATTATTGACACCAACCAATGTAAAGGATGATCCTGGACATGGGTGTCCTGGCGTTTGACTACCTTACCCCCCCATATAGACTTACAGGTCTCCTACTCCAGGGCACCCGTTTGAAGGAAGGAAGTGCTAATTCCGGAATGTAAGTCGGACATGTCCGGATTTTTCATGCTCTCTCCTGGACGAAAGCCAGGGTAAGCCGTTCAGAACTTGCTTGGACCACTTCGAAGATAGGGAAGCCAAGCCATTCAGAACTTGCGAAGTGACCGAAGATCGGGACCGCACGTTCCGTGTGCGAGGCGAAACGGGACGACGTAGACCGACCGGCGACGTAGATCGACCGACGACGTAGACCCTTCGGTGGCTAGCTCGCGGAGCTAGCGAAGTGGCCGGAAGTGGCCATGGGTGGCTGCGCTTCACATTGGCAGGTACAAAGCAAAAACCAGCACCAGACTCTACAGGTCTCCGAGTTTTAGTGACTTTTGATACTTGCTGCCTTAGGAAATTAACCCAAGGGCCCCCTCAGTTTGAAAATTAATATATTTGGATTAATTGTCTATATGTTGGGGAGTTTGGGGGGGGGTTCTATAAAAATCCATGTGAACTTAACTAGAAAAAGATCTTGATAGGATTAATTAGCTCATGAGGGAGTCGATTAATTAGCAATGAGGGAGCTGAAACTGAAGAGTGGGAGAGAACTAGACTACCTCTGAGTTTATTTTGGACTTGTGTTGTCAGTGCTTTGCTTGTTAGGTTCAGATGCGTTTTTCCTTTGTCAATACTTGAAGATCACCGGTTGTACCAGCTGGATTAGATTCCAGGGCTAGAGCCTGCTGGCTTTAGCCAGCTAGGAGTTTTATTTAGAGAAATCGTATGTTCCAGCAGGGCTGGAACAATACTTCGAAAAACAACACCCTGTCTCCACCATCTGGGTTCTTGTTAAAGGATTTGTTTAAAATCCTGGTCAGACCAGAAAAACTAAGGAAACAACTAAGGAACATTAGAATGTTAGACTCAAATGCCTAGAATTAATTACTAGAAAGGTAGCTCCAGGCCCTGCAAATTAGTTTCTCTGAGTTTTGTCATGCGACTCAAGCATAGTGGTTTAATTAAGTTAATCAAAATTATCTTGCACTCGTCAAGTCTTGGATTAATTTCAGAATATTTACTGCAGGGGTAGTGATTAATTCTCCTAATTAATCTGGGGTAGGGGGTAGTTGACCCCCCCCTAAGGTAGGAGGTATGACTTTTGTAGACTTTAAAAGTGGACCTGGTGGTGACCTGTTGGAGGGCCCAGGTACAAATCCCTGCGAATCCAAGACCATTTAAAAGATGCTCGGCTCTATTAGATATGTTAGATGACTTTAGATGACCCGAAAAGAGATTTCCTTTATACTTTGGTGGTGCCATATATAGTCTTTTGGCCTCCGGAGGGCAAATGGTATGCGGTCGAACCGATCTTTCCAGCTGTCTCATCGTGTCAGGAGATTTTTTCGGCACATCCCATTGCCTCAATCTTTGCCGAGAAAACAAGCCTAATCCATCCAACAGCTCTGGGAGTCTAACACAACCGCAGCACCTTTTCAAAAAATCGTTTGACCTCCAGCACCTTCAGGACCTCGGGGTCACCTGGCTGGTTTCGCCCCAGCCCACTACTAGAAGGGACCTCCAGCCAGGACACCCCGAAAGAAGGTCCAGGCTGGTGTTTGTAGTACAGCGTTGTAACTTCATAATCGTTCTACCCAGACGCTCATGGACCCTCCTAAGTAGGGGCCGGACCCTCCTAAGTAGGAGTCCGGACCCTCAAATTTGTAGGGTTTTGAGGGACCAAGAGCTGTTTGGAGCGTCTGGGTAGTTCAACTCGGTTGCTTTGGTCACATCCATCCACTGAAGGAAGCTCCGAGCGAAGTTTCGGGAAGCTCCTCGCAAAGCCTCGTTTCCAGTGCCTATGGCTTAACCTGGCCCACCATTAATAGGCTGAATCCCGAATCAACTGAGGACTTTACACTGGGTCGTTCCCAATTTTTCCAATGGTCGAACGGTCGACAGGGCAGTCCTTGCTGTGGAACAGACAAGCGCGCCGAGTGTCTCGCGCGCTTGTTGGGTAGGAGGATGCCTGGGCGCTCGCCGGCCTGTGTTCGCGACCGCGACGGCGACGGCGACGTGTACCAGTGCGTGCGTGCTCGGGCGAGGGCCGGAGACTGGCTGGAGGGTGTTGCACTGGTTTGGAGCCATTTTTTCGGCACGGGAGCGTGACAAACTTGACACAACTTCAGCTACCAGCACCCGAAAACTGCCAGGTCACCAATCCCAGACACGACCTGTCTGGGACTGTATGCCGCCCCAGACAGACCCCCCTGGCACCACAACTGATCGGCACTCTGATCGGAATATATTCCAGTCCCATGGAGCGTCTGGGAATGGTTCGACCTCAACATGGCCCTCCAAACGAGGAGACCGTCACTCCGTCGAACGACCTGGGGCGCCACCGCCGCAGTTCGGCTCCAGACCGTGCAAGTCCTGCGTGGCGGTGCCTAGTCCGACCTGGAGAAACTCCAAAAAGTGAAGAAGAGAACATCATGGACACTTGGCAACCTGTAATACATATACCAGGACACCCGGACTAGGGATTTTTATTGATAGCCTCCTGAAAGAGCTGATTGACCACCGTATGCAAGGACCCTCCAGGACCCTCCGGGTGGTTCAGCTCTGAGACCAAACGTCCCACAGGTGGGCTTCACACACCTGGGCACCGCACGAACGGAAACACAGGAAGCATCTGGAGCTGAGTCGGGTGCTGGTAGCTGACCTTTCTCTCTGTGTGGGTAGTTCACATGCATCCATATACCCAGCTGATGAGAGTGGCGTAATTTGTGGCGATCAAAAGCCACCTATAGGCATGTCGAGTGATCGAGTGAATTGCCTAGAACTTCCAAGAACACGGAGGCATCATCATCCACTCATCCACCACTCCATAAAATTAGGTTTGTGAGTTCATGAGTCCAAGACTTGGATTGCCTGGGTACCAAAACCGAAGCTCTTAGCCCTTCAGCAGAGCGCAGACACGACCTCTGGAACTCCCATGGAGTCCTTGCAACTGCCGTCGGCGAAGATTTGCCTTTTGAAGGACCTGGTACGCGGGTTTCGCGGTCACGTGGAGTGTTGGAGACAGAGCGGAGCGGTCTGAGAAGCGGTTCAAGGATTTGTTTCGATTCCGGAATTCGAAGGAGCAGGCTTTTTTGATTGGGGGGGGAGGAAAACTGGGAGGGCTTTTCTCGGTGTTGGATCGGGTTTAGACCTTGTTCGCCTTGTTTTTATAGATCACTTCTTGGTGGACCAGTTGGTCACAGGATGAGATATTGGGTCGCCTCAATGCACACCATGCACACCAGGTCTGAGAGATACGTCTTGCAGTGGTGTGGATATCTGATCTTGTATACCTTTCCGGTGGAAGCAGAGTTCATCCGCATTGGCAGTTTCCAGCCGTTTTCAACCGCAGGTTCACCAGGTGTTCTGGCGGTCAACATGGGGTGTTTGATTTTCAAGAATCCGGGCTCCTTCACCAACACATAGGGGCACTGGTTCGGGCACACCTCTGACCATTCGGTGTCGGTGTCGGACTCCGCCATGGAGAGCCCCCGGACTTCGGATTCCCCTATAGGGATCCAGTCGTACCTTTTGAGAAGGTGGGACTGGGCTGGGTGCCAGGAGGGTGTCAAATACCTTCTGAGGTACGACTGGATCCGGTTCTTGAGGCTTTCAACTCGAGGTTCGTTCGTTCGCCACCGGAAGCCGGTCCACGTCACGGTTCGAAGGAGTCTCCTGTCCTCTCCGAGAGATGCGAAGAAGTCCACTATTCCCTAGGGCTCCAGTCGGTCCAGTCGTACCTCCTTAGGTATGACTGGACCCACCCCAGGCCCACCTTCTAAGAAGGTCCGACTGGAGGTGTAGGGATTATAGACCCGGTGGGTCACTTGGATCCTGCGTTTGGGTTAGCTTGTGGATCCCCCAACAAAAATCCGGCAGAATCAGGAAGGCAGGCACCTCCTCCATCTCCATCCACACCAGGAGCTCACCGCGACTTCGGGCTCCGTGAGAGTCACCGGCTTGGTGAAGGCGAGCGCGCTCCGTCCACCGCTGCGTCCGCGACTGCGTCGCGACTGCGAGGCATAGCTCGGCGGATGTGAGACGCCGATGCGGTTGGGGTGAAGGGCGTGAAGGGGCTGTTTGGTCGTAGACATGTACAGACGCTCCGTGTTTTCGTTCACGACGCCCGACTCCCGGTCCCTCCAAAACTGGATTGGTGAGAAACCCCCATGAATTCCCTGACCCTGACCCGTTCGGATTCGGGGTCCAGACTTCACGTCGACGGGTGGGTTTTCCAGTCGACCATTTTTTTTGGATGGCGAACGACGAGGTTGAAAGACCCGAACTAGGCTATCCTATATAGTTCGGTACCCCTGGGCCGGGGGGGGTGTATGTTCAAAAGTTCGCTCGGCCACACGGCATGTAGATGAACCGCCCAAAGGCGACCCTGGACCCGAATCCTGACAGGTCAGGGGTTGGAACCTATATCCCTAGGTTTTGAGGGACCAGTCAGGCTGTGAATGGAGTGTCTGGGAGGTATAGACATATGTTTCGTCATGGCTGGGGGTCCAGTCGAACCATTTTGATTCTGTAGAACAACACGACAAGTCGTGGAAGCTGCTCTCTGCTCGAAGCGGTGAGCCTCCGTGGGTACCCGTATACGAGTCAGGTGCCAACCCCGTCCGAAGACCCAGCAGAACTCGGCCTTTTCACCTTATATTGGGCGGCTTGATAATACCTTATTGTGCCTTATTAGCAGAGTATAGTGTTTATGTATGTCGAACTCCAAT